TGCAGAATGTAAATTTGTCTTTATATCTACAAGTGCTCTGCACAATAAAAATAAATAAATAAAATCCATATAAATGTGAGTAAATGACTACTAATTAACTAAATAAATTAATAAATATTTTTTGCTAAACTTTTCAGAAAGTAAATTTGTCTTTATATCTAAGTGCTCCACAAAATAAAAAAGAAATAAAAAAAATCCATATAAATGTGAGTAACTAAGTAGTTAACTAAATAAATTTGTCTGCTACTTATTAATTGAAAAAATGCAGTGACTTTCTTCCTTTTGCAGTGTCTGCTAAGATCAGGTGTTATGGTTTGTGTTTGAGTGTAATAAGACTAAGTCATATGATGTGTGTGTTGGCGTGACATGATGGAGTGCTGTTTCTCTGACGGGACGGTTTCCTACAGCGTGAAGGCCTTGGTGCCGTCTGGCAGCAGCCATTTTTCATCAAATCCCTCCTTGAACCTGTCCAGCTCTTTCTGCCACCTCAACAGCCACTAAATCACACTCTTTCTCCAGCGCAGGTGTGGCCGTGACCCTCTTTCTCTTTAGTTCCTGTCATCCCTCTTTTCTGTCATCCTCCACAACATCTCGCAAACATATCCCTTTCTGAGAAAAAGCCGTTTACGGCAGTCTAGGTCAAATGCAGTTTCTAAGACAAGATCGCTTCATTTATATGCTTTGCAGTCAACCGTAACAGCCGTCACCTCTTAAAAGAATTACATTTTATTGTTAGACTGAAGATGTAGTTGAAAAGTTCATACAAACTGACTTCTTGCTACTTTTTCCTTTTTAAAAAAAAATCTCTTACACAACCCAAAACACGCTTTGTTGCGAAAGCAATTTTTCCATCATCAGTATCTGAAGTTTTCAAGGACGGCTGTTTTCACTCCCTTCTCGAGCTGAAATGAAGTTTTCCTCCTGTCAAGAGAAGTTCACAGAGACGTGCTCCTGTAATATTCAAACGCGAGCAGAATTCAGGGTCATCAGGATTGCTATTCACTTCACATAGCGAGGCAGAATCAATGCATTGCAGGAGCGCTCAAGGCCACATTCCAATTCAGCTCTTAATGTGGATCCAGCGGCAACAGAAGTGGTTTTCATATGACATTTATCTTTCTGCCAGTACTTTTGTATGAGGATATTGAGGCCTTCGTTTGTGTCAGGTGTGAAAAGTGTAGGCTGACATATGAATGAGGGGAAATGGAAGAGTGGTGAAAAGAGAACGACAGCGAGTGATAGAGCGCAAAATATTGAAAATAGAGGCTTAACAAAAGTCAGCTCATGTAAAAATATAAATCAAAAATGAAATATTTAATTCTAATAATTACTTATAATTATAATTATTTTAATAATGATAATAATCAATAATTTTTCATTTATAATTATTATAATTATTTAATCAATCATAGTATTTTACAATTTCTGCATAATGCAATATTATATATATATAT